TTCGACAAAGCATTTGGAAAGCGTACTATACTTTCTCAGAAAAGAGTTCGAAACAAGACGTTTATAAATCATTCGACAAAGCTCCAGATAACTCTTTTCATCGGCTTTCAGGACGCAGGATTTTTGTGATATAGTTTCGAGAACCTTCGTGGTTGGGGACAGTGTGGCACTGTTCCACATCACTGTATCTAGGCTCTTTGGGTTTGTAAGAGCTGGGAGTCATTCCCAACTCGTAACTCTTCCTATCTTGTGTTCTAAGACTATGCTGCTGCCACAGTGCCGTTTGTTGAAACTAACGCTGTGTCATTAGTTTCTTAATGAAAGCGTGCGATTTAAACTGCCTATTGTAGGCGACATCAAGGCGCGCCAGATCCAAGTTGAATGAAGTCATTTGAAGTTGTGAGCAGATCGCTATGAACGTTTGAAGCCGCTGTGCAGAAATCTGACTATGCACTCTATCTTTCATTTTAGGCACATTGGAGCCTACTGTAACTATAACAAGGAGGTCTCTCCCAAACATAAAATGCGAATATGCATTTATTAAGCCAGCAGTATCAATTACAGACAGAGTGAGCCAATGTAGGAACCCTCGCCCTCTGTTAGTGTAACACCTCGCTACCCACTGGGTCAAAACGAGGGTGTTATTTGGAGCAGCGGAATGCCCTTTAACACTAGCTTACAGGCCTTACATTTACTGACGTATTCTGGTCAATAATCACCCGCGGACCTCCCAACTCATATATCGTTGGACAAAGAATGTCGAAAGCGTAACAAGGAACCATAAAAATCCTCTCATAGTGTAATGCAACCGAGAACCAATGTTACGGACTACAACTGAAGAACCAAGCATGTACGAAACCAATGTTCACGTGGACAGGGGACTCGAATCGAGATGAGAGAAAAGGAGAGATCATCAGAGGCCTTACACAGTGTGGAGGTTTGTAAGGTTGCCAAAGGAACTCGGGATGGAACCATAGAACCAGTTGATGTCAAGTATTCTGTCGCGGTGAGTACCACAGCTCCACCATAGACCAGTTGCTTTGGCATGCAATTCCATGACAGCAAAGGTTTTAGCATAGATGCGAGAAGAACAGTAGACATGTGTTTTAGTTGCTAAAATTGAAGGAATCATGCTGTAGATGCACGTGAGTATATAAGGAAGCAATAAAGAACTATGGATGAAAGGTGAGATTGCGAAACAATTAGTAAATGAGGCACAGAGAGAGGAGGTCAAGTTCTTTAAGATAGGTGCCAGAGTGAAAAGAGTGAGTAGATGGGGGTGGAAGCAGTAAGCTACCTTACTGTGAATGTATGTATTGACCAGGTGATAAGAATAGAGCACCAAGTTCACTAGAGTATCAGTAAAAAGCCAAAAATTTCAACAATGTTGAAAAACTGTTCAGAGACTCGTTGACTGATTCGTCAGCTATCCTGAATCTGACGAATCCATGGCGCAACTACTCCTATTGAGTTGTGCGCTGTGCATTTGCACGACATAAACGAAATGTTCCACAGGTTGATCGACAACTGACAATTGGGCAGTGGAGATACATTAAGAACACTACTGCATCAGAAGGAGTGACAGTGGAGAGGAGACGACAACAAAAAGAACAGCCACCAACAGAAAGAATTTACAAGGTTGCCAGTCTTTTGAGATTGCTGATTGAAGAAGGGATTGTGCCACGGACCATATTGTTTTGAAGACCACTGTGTTTATGAGCATGAATAGGGCATGTGATGGAGATAAACCAAGTTTGCCCAATATATGGGAAGCACAGTAGCAGCATGACGCATATTTTCGGAGCTGAAAGATAAAGATGGTAGGTGCAAGCACGCGGTAGGAGGGAAGGTTAAATCTTGAATACATTGGAGAAAGATTATGAATGGACGGCATCGGAATAAATAACAAGTGAGAAAATGAGGGAAGAAGGGCACGATATGCCTAAAGGCTCTCTACGGGAGCATGGGCCAGGCAGAGACCGCCATGAATCGCGCTGGCTCCGGCCGGCCTCCTTGCCGGGTGGGTTTAGACAGGCTTGTACTGGTCCAGCCTTGTGAAAATTTCGGTCAAAGGCCCGTCCGGGCACTCGCGGCCTGACTACAGCTGCTATAGGCCTCACCCAGCGCGCCATAAGTGTGACCCTAAATCTTTACTGCACTCAAGAATGCAGCCATTCGTTTTGATGTCTCAACAATCCTTTTAAGGTCAACCCCTGCACGGTTGAGATGCGAAACTTCGACTCTAAAACATAGGGATAGAGCTAGCTTGCAATTATAGAAAATGGAAAATACGATACCCAAAGAAAATTAAAACAATCTACGGGACTCACATGTATGTCAGATTTGGAAGATAGCAGATGCCATCAGGAATTGACCCATAGAGTTTATTTACTTCAAGTGATCTGTGATGACAGACATGGGAGATTGCACAGATGAGACAAGAAAGGCCAGACCATAGGCAAGAAAGGGAAACCAAATTTTCAAGGGGAACGGAGGATCTTGTGCCAGGTTCAAGAAGGACTGTAAGGATCTGCAGTGAAACATACAATAACACGATTTATTTGCAGCCACAATCAGCTTCAACGAGTGGTACTAGCACATGGCACTAGGACACGACCCACGTGGCGGTCAGCGTGAGAAGATAACCACTTTGGGGGGTCGCCGCTGTCATCACGAGCTTCAAAAGCGATGATCTCACATCTGCACGATCATTCCACTTGAGTCGCATTTGATGCTGCTCGCAGTGCTGCACTCGGGATTGGCGCCACTCCATCCAGAGAATGTCTGGCCCCATGCCGTCTGGCAGTCCTGCAGAAACTGCGCTGCAGGTTGGCAGAGGGAGGTGGGGTTGATGGAGGAGGAAGAAGAGGGGGAAGGGAAGGGGGTGGGGGGGGGGGGTGGGGGGTTGGGGGGGGGGGGGGGGGGATCGAGACACGGTAGTTCGATGGTCCATGGAGGTGGTTCAAGGAGGCTTTGGGAGGAGAAGCACGTGGCAGTATTGTGCAGAAACAGCGTACAAATTGGGTGCACGGCCTTCGCGGTACAAACAAGGCATCCCAAAAATGCATGGAAGCTAAACCTACTTCGAAGCTAATTGGTAGTTACTTAGTGGTTGGTGTTGAGAAATCAGCTCTGTAGTTATTGGCGAACATACTGAATCACGGGATGTGAGGCTTGGGGCCTCCCAAACGTAAACCTTCTGGAAAGTTACTTGCAGGCTGGAACGAATGTGTTATCGGCGAAAGGCCCGATCAGTTGGGAAGTCTCACGAGAAGGTGTAACTCAGCATGAGCGAACGGCTTCGTCGCATTTCATTTGTTCGTGATTTCTATCAGCAGTGATTGCGATCGTTTTCATTGGTCGAAATCAATGTAGGTTGATGGCCGCGCCTAATCACAGCATTTCGCGCGTAATAGTGTCAGTCGGCTCTGGCTTTTTGTTATTGGTGTTGGGTTTGGGAGAGAATAGCTCATGTCAGTTGATGTCAAATCCCTCGCGTTATCTCAGCCGTCCTATATTCGACAGGTGTCCGAAATTTCAGAGTTTGCTCCACACATTTCGGAATGTACATTGTCATGTGGACGTTCAGACGAACGCCACTTTGGCAAGAAAGTAGTGGTGAATAACTTACCACAATTCGTAACAGTAACGTTGTTACTTGTCACGTTACATTTGACAGCTAGTGCACTTCCATATAGGCATATATCAAAATGCAAATCATAACCTACAAATGAAATATTCATTTTGTATTACTATGGATTGGTATTTAGAAATTTTATACTGATGATAATTTATATTGGTAATTAGATATTATTAAAAGCAAATTACAAATTAGGTCTAAAAACAACAATTAGCAGAAACTACAAACACGTGCACAAAAGCACACATTCGCACAAACTACAGCAAACTACCTAGAGTTGGGCCGACACACACACTTGCACTCTACGCGTTAGGCACTCATACATTGCAACCATCTTAACATTAGGGGCCCTGCAATCCCGGCAGCCCCTCGCAACTGATGAAGACCCTCTTCGTTGCCTCGTTAAACTTCCACGCTTTGTACTCAGGCTGCCACCAAGGACCCGTCGCAGGAGTCCGGTTCTGAACAGCAAAAGCAACGGCGTTGTGCACGTTGGAATGGTAGATCGCAAGAGCACGCTTGTTGTCAACTGAGCTGCGCGACATCTCTTCGTTCTTCAGGAGCTTGTACTCAACGTGCAGCACCAATAAGGGGATCCTTAGAGCAACGACGGAAATGGCAAACATTCTCATGCATGCTTAAAAAATTCACATACCCCTAGCAGGAAGAAGGCGATCTGCTTGAAACGGAGGACTAAGACGGCATGCCCCGGCCTCTCAAACGAGTGGAAAATCGCAAGGGTGAAAAAGTCAGAGGCGAAAGGCATCCCCAGTCGATTATGATGCCACGTCAACAAGTCCTACGAAAGAACACCTGTAGGGTGCGGAAGGTTGGAAGGGTGTGGGTGTTGAGGCAGGATGGGAGAGAGTTGTGAAATCAATTGAATGTTCATTGCATCCCACACCCACAACAGTACAGCGGGCTGCCTGCGGGGGGGATGGTGAGCACAGGCATGTGGGCGGTGGGTGGGGAATCAAGTGGTGGGAGGGGAGTTTTTGAATCATTGTGGCCTTGCATCCCACGCCCACAACAATGCAACAAGCTGCCTGCAGCATACGGTGAGCACAGGCAGTGAGCATAAAGGGGTGGGATCCAGTTGTGGGAGGGGGGTTTACTCCACCTAGCATCTCACGCCCACAGCAGTGCACCGGGGCTGCCTGCAGAGGGATGGTCAGCACAGGCAGTGGGAATTGGGTGGGGATCAATTGGTGGGAGGGGAGATTAACTAAAGGCACGCCGCCTTGCATCCCACGCCCACAGCAGAGCACCGGGCTGCCTGCATGGGGATGGTGGGCTAGGGAAAATGGTATTGGAAGATACAAGGTAAGAGTCGACGGGAAAACCGAGATGCAATGACAGCCTAACTGCCATCTGCTCGCCAGGGTTTGAGCGGTCTATTGGGGAATGGTGTAGCCATCATCTTACTAGCAAGGTAGGAGGCACAGAACGCCGCAGGCGACAGCGTTCCGATCTCGACGCGGTTGCGGTCCGGACGTTTGATGCGAATGTCGAATCTTTCGTACAGCAAGACACGGCCCGTGGTGAGGGTCTTGTTCCTCGCATCCTGAAGCTTCTTTCGAAGGTGCCTAGGCCAAGCCGTTTCGTTCTCCATGACGAGGCGCAGGTTAGCCAGTCCCTCAGGATCTATGATGTTTAGAGCCGTGCAAAGGGCGGTGATGTTGGTGTCACGCGGCGTCCAATAATCCAGGTCCACATCTGAAGTTTCGAAGTAAAGGATCTCCACAGCTCGAGTCGCGGCCCCCTGACACGGGAACATGGGGGGTGATAGGTGGTTAGAGGGACTACTTGGGGGATAACAATGCACTGCCCCCTGCTGTGAAATACACAGCAGAGCAGCAGAAATGGCGCATGTAATAACCTCCAAATGGGGTGGTCTGACATGGGTATGGAGTCAATGGTGGGTCCCAATGGGTGAAAACAGCACTAGAAGTCCGTTGCCTGCGTCAAGGACCATACAAACGGTATGGCAGTAGGATGTCATGCACTGGGTGGGGAGTGGGACATGGTTGGGACATTACCTTGAACCCATTGTGGATATCTGGCATGCTGGCCAACGCGTCAGCGTACCGATGCGCCCACGTCCGCTGCATGCTCGACAGTTGCTGCAAGTCCAAAATAGTTCCCCGGCTATGGGCCGTCCTGACCGCATTTATGATAGCCACCCGATTCGGTTCCACGAGTAGAGTTCTCGGGAACGACGCCTGGAGCGTGTTTCCTGCCACGCCATTAGGAGTAGGCGCGCTCGGACCAGCCGCTGCAGCACCACTTCCAGCCGGTGCAGCACCACTTCTAGCCGCTGCATCACCACTTCCAGCCGCTGCAGCACCAGGACCAGCCGCTCCCATACCGTGAGCATCAGCATCACCTGAGGAGTTGCCAGGGTTGCTCGCTTCGTCCGGAGCGTCTTCGCTGGTATGGTTAGCAACACCGTGCGACAGGCGACGGTTCTCATTTTCAGCTTCCATAAGGCGGCGGCGCAGCTCATGTGCCTCAGCCTGAGCAGCATCGAACTCTTCCCGGGAGATAAGGTCCACTCCTTATCCCGCTTCCTCATCGGCATCACTATACTCATCTAGCCCCTCGTAACCAGGCTCAGGTACCTGAGGTTCCATCTCCGGAAAAGCTTCAGGGTCTAGGGGCTGCATGTAGTCAGTCGGGGCGCCATCATCCCCATGCCCAGTAGAAGGGGTATGCAGACCCTCGGGTTGCATCGGTGCCTGCTGTTGTTGCTGCTGCTGCACATGCGGCGAAGATGGCACATCCGCGGGCAGCTGCTGCTGCTGCCCATACGGTGAGGCATGCAGATCCGTGGCGGGCTGCTGCTGCTGCTGCTGCTGCCCATACGGTGAGGCATGCAGATCCTTGGCGGGCTGCTGCTGCTGCTGCTGCCCATACGGTGAGGCATGCAGATCCGTAGCGGGCTGCTGCTGCTGCCGCTGCCCATACGGTGAGGCATGCAGATCCGTGGCGGGCTGCTGCTGCTGTTGCTGCTGCCCATACGGTGAGGCATGCAGATCCGTGGCGGGCTGCTGCTGCTGCTGCTGCTGCCCATACGGTGAGGCATGCAGATCCGTGGCGGGCTGCTGCTGTTGCTGCTGCTGCCCATACAGTGAGGCATGTAGATCCGTGGCGGGCTGCTGCTGCTGCTGCTGCCCATACGGTGAGGCATGCAGATCCGTGGCGGGCTGCTGCTGCTGCTCTTGCAGTCCATTAGTCGAGGTTTGCAGACCCGTGGTGGTCTGCAACTGCTGCTGCTGATGTCCAATGGTTGGGGTGACGCGAGAAGAGTTGGGCAGCTGCTGCAGCTGCAGTCCAGTGGTTGGCGTGGCACGAGGAGAGTTCCGCAGCTGCTGCTGCTGACCAGTGGTGGTCTACAGCTGCTGCTGCTGCTGCTGTCCAATGGATGGGGTGACGCGAGCAGAGTTCCGCTGCTGCTGCTGCTGCTGTCTAGATGTTGGCGTGGCGCGAGCAGAGTTGGCCCGCAGCTGCTGTTGATTCGAGCCTCTGCGAACCGTCGTGCGGCGAGGACCCGTCCGGCGGCCCCCAGTCGTCCCAGTTGTACTCGCCGGGTTGTGAAGTCCTCCCATGGACAGCTGGTTGAGTGGAAGGGTTCTCTCGCCTGCACATCATCAAAACACACATGCTTAGTATCCAGCACCGTAGGCTATTGACGTATAACAAACCAAACTCTCGCGGAAATCAGCTTACAAGTACTAAGTGAAACGTCTTGAACAGTGCTTACCATTGCTGGTTGTTGTCGCTGCCGTTGCCTGCACAGATTCTTCACTGTCCCCTTCTCTTAGAGCACAAACTGAGGCCAATACGGATGAGTACCGGTTATTTGTCCCTCTACCAGGTCTATCAAACCGGCGCGCTTCGGCTGTATGCATGGTCGATCTAACACCACATCTAAAACGTTAAGAAACATACTATCAGTATGTTTCAACGTGTCTTTTATACTCGCCAAGCCATCACCAACAATGTATCTATCCGTCGCCAGGTTCGCGGACGCACCGCTAATAAGCTCGAGTGGTTCTCTGCGGTTCTCAAACCGCTCGTGCTGCTGCGTGCTAACCTTCGAATTTCGAACTTTGAAAACGGGTCATCTCAGCTCTCAGGCCCTCTACGGTTGTGTCAAGGTTTTGAGATACGTGCGTGGGTAAATCAGCGACTGCGCGAGATACCAGCAGATGCGACAAGGGTTTCGTTGAAATGGAGGTAAAAACGATGGTCCAGGTTCTTACCTGTAGAGCCCTCGAGATAATGTCGCCAGCGGGGAAATTGTTACACCAGCCTGCTTCTGATTGGCGAGAAACAAGCGCAGCGCAGGGTCGATTTGCGGTCCAGTTACAGAAACGGGCTGGTATCTCGTGTCGCAAGTTCATCCCCACCGAACAAGCATGACAGATACAATGGCGCCGAAGCAGGGGAGGGTCACGACGTGTGCCAGCTGGACAGGTTCTCAGTCAGCCGGCCAGTAGCTGGGGGGAACGACGACGGCGGTCGCTACCATGGGCAAGAGGGAGCGACGCTGTATGGTCAGGGCATGCTTGCGTGACGCTTGTATCGCGGGGCATCAGCGCGGGGAGCCCATGCCAGCTGGCTCCCCCGCCCAGATAACGCTATAGGCTCGTGTGTCTGGCAAGGCGTCGCGGGTTTCATTACCTACCCCAGTCAGCACAGGAAGAATCGGGTTTCTTCCAGCAGAGGGAGTTGGAGGAACTCGATGGCTGCAACAATCAGACACACGAGTGTCGCGCGGATTGAGGCAAGGTGCCTAGATTTCGTTTTAACATAACAGTGGTTAAAATCTGCTCTTTAAGAGTTAAAAACACTTGACACTATATCAAATAGGTGTCAAGGGTACGAGTTCAATCACGATTTCAGGTAAAGGTATGCGCATACGCATCAACACAAACAATAGGATTATGAGGTTGGTCACTTAAAGTCGAAATTCGGTTACCTATTGTGCGTCCAGCATCGTAGTTTCAAGGCCCATAAAACCATTTATACTCAGATTTGATGGTAATTCCCTCGTACAACAGCTTACGGACAGATGACAGCATTGCGAATTTGGCTGATCAGATGGTTTAGGGAGATGGGCAAACATGAATCTAAGACAACCAGCTATGAAGTGATGTAATGTACGCACATGTGAAACCTACATCTACTCCTCTAACAACCTCGGTGTAATAGACGGTAGCGATGGTGCGTCAGGACGATGACAGCGCGCCATTGACAGAGCCCTACACCATCCTGCGAAATCCCCTCCTGTAGGAGGCTTCGTTGCTGCGCAGAACAAAGCTATATATGGTACCGTGCAAGGACAGACTGGGAACGCACGAGAGTTGTCGAATGATGTCCCGGTGGTTGTCGCACACGTATTTGAGAACATAGATCCCTTAAACACGCTCTAATGAGGCTACCATCCACATATCGTGCTATTCGGACAACGTGAGAGGCTTTCTTGCTGCGCAGAACAAAGCTACACTGGGAACCGAGCAAATACTTGCTGGGAACGCACGAGTGTTATTGAATGACGTCCCGTGATTGTCGCACACGTATTTGAGAGCATGGATCCCTTGATCATGCTCTATGAAGGCTACCACCCACGTATCGTGTCATTCGGACAACGTGAGAGGCTTCGTCGCTGCTCAAAACAAAGTAATACAGGGAACCGTGCATTGACAGGCAGGGAGTGAACGAGTGTTGTGGAATGACGTCCCGGTGATTCTCGCGCACGTCTTTGAGCGCATGGATCCCTTACACACAATCTTACAAGGCTACCATCCTCGTATCGAGTCATTCGGACAACATGTGAGGCTTCGTCGCTGGCCAGAACAAAGCTATACAGGGAACCGTGCAAGGACAAGCAGCGAGCAAACAAGTGTTGTCGAATGACGTCCCGGTGATTGTCGCACACATATTTGAGTACGTGGATCCATTATACGTGCTCTAACAAGGATACAATCCTCGTATCGAGTCATTCGAATACCGTGAGAGGCTTTGTCGCTGCGCAGAACAAAGCTATACAGGGAACCGTGCAAGGACAGGCTGGGAACGCACGAGTGGTGTCGAATGCCATCCCGGTGATTGTCGCACACGTATTTGAGAGCATGGATCCCTTACACATGCTCTCACAAGGCTACCATCCACGTATCATCTCATTCGGACAACGTGTGAGGCTTCGTCGCTGGCCAGAACTAAGCTATACAGGGAACCGTGCAAGAACAGGCAGCGAGCGAACAAGTGTTCTCGAATGACGTCCCGGTGATTGTCCCACACGTATTTGAGCACGTGGATCCATTACAATTGCTTTAACAAAGATACCATCCTCATATCGAGTCATTCGGACAACGTGAGAGGCTTCGTCGTTGCGCAGAACAAAGCTATACTGGGAACCGTGCAAGGACAGGTTGGGAACGCACAGGTGGTGTCGAATGCCGTCCCGGTGATTGTCGCACACGTATTTGAGAGCATGGATCCCTTACACATGCTCTCACAGGGCTCCCATCCACGCATCGTGTCATTCGAACAACGTGAGAGCCTTCGTCGCTGCGCGGAACAAAGCTATACATGGAACCGTGCAAGGATAGGGTGGGAAACGAATAAGAGTTGTCGAATGACATCTCAGCGATTGTCGCACACGAATTTTAGAGCATGGATCCCATACACATGTTATAGCAGGTTCATTTTCTGCCCGTGAGACTATGTTATACAACGTGTCACATTTTGCAAAAAAGTAGAACAAGGCAATCGACCAAGGGTAGGCAAAGTTACAATGGTAACCATGAAGCGATAGTTAGTGTTTCACATTCTAACCTGTTTAGCACATGCATGATTTTTAGAGTGGATTCAATATCAACATTAACCAATCAGATATAAAGTGTATGGGGATATTGTTCTTGGTCCTTGAACTCACCAATGATGACGATACATTCTTGTTGTTGTTCCATGTGGTGTTGATGTTGTCCTTTGTGATGGTCTGGTTGTCCTTTGTTGAAGGTCCTTGGTGTGTTAGACTCCAGCAAAACTGTTTCATAGTAGTGGTTTGGAGCTCTAGAGAACAATGACAACATGCACCACTAGGTCTAGTTGTGGTCTTCTTGTATGGAGTGCTGTTTTTGGTCTTTGTGGTGGTCTTGTTGTCCTTTGTTCGATGTCCTTGGTGTGTTGGAGGGGAGCAATACTGTTTCAGAGTAGTGGTTTGGAGCTAAAGATAACAATGACAACAAGCACCACTAGGACTAGTTGTGGTGTTGTTATATGGGGTGTTGTTTTTGTTTCTTTGTGGTGGTCTTGTTGTCCTTTGTTGGATGTCCTTGGTGTGTTAGAGGGGAGCAATACTGTAGCATCGTAGTGGTTTTGAGCTCTAGATAACAATGACAATATGCACCCCTAGGTCTAGTTGTGGTGTTGTTGTTGTATGAGGTGTTGGTTATGTTCTTTGTGGTGGTCTTGTTGTCCTTAGTTGGATGTCCTTGGTTTGTTGGAGGGGAGCAATACTATCCCATAGTAGTGGTTTGGAGCTCTGGAGAACAATGACACCATGCACCCCTAGGTCTAGTTGTGGTGTTGTTGTTGTATGAGGTGTTGTTTTTGTTCTTTGTGGTGGTCTTGTTGTCCTTTGTTGGATGTCCTTGGTGTGTTGGTAGGGAGCAATACTGTAGCATAGTAGTGGTTTGGAGATCTAGAGAACAATGACAACATG